GGGGCTGCGGGCCCTGCTGCTCTGAGCTCTGGGGCGGGCCCAGCCCCGGGGCACGGGCTGCGTGTGCGGGTGGTAAGGGAGTGAGCAGGAAAGGGGTAGCGGTAAAGCAGAGGGAGCAGTGAGAGGCCCTGAATCTGGGGCTAAGTGGTTAAGGTGAACCTGTCCCGCTACAGGTGGTATTTGAACAGTGAGTGTGGGAAAAGCACGTTAGAATATGAAAAGGGGGTATGAGAGGCGACTGGTAGTAAGCAAAGGTACAGGTTGTTTGAGGGGAAAAAGTTACCGGCTCTTAGGCCTCCGTGGCTCCTGTAGTTGCCTTCTACTTGAAATGCTGAATTACCTTTTGCAGCTCGGCTCTGGTGAGGTTATTTGCCTGCCTCACGGCAAACAGGGCCTCGAGCAGCACTGTGCAAACTGGCAGCAGGTGGTCCTTACACCTTCTCTTTGTTTTCCAGGGCTGTAGTGTGTGTGCGTGGCTTCTGTGTTGGGATGGGCTTAGGAGGAGTAGAGCAACCTGTTATCAGTTCTAATTCCTTATGCATAAGCATGCAGCTCATTACTCCCTCCTCTCCCTGGAAAGGAATCACAGATGCCTTGGAAAGGCAAACATGGGGAATAATTTTTATCAAAACATCTTTCAGTGAGATTTTGGTTGCAAATGTCTGATCTGGCTTTTCCCTGATTTTTTATCAAATGTGATTTTAGCTTGCTTGGTGTTCGTTACCTTTTACAGCATTTAGGTGGAATTATAAAATGATTATTTACCATAGGTGTATTTCTTACAAAAATAATTGGAAAAAAATGTTATTGTTGCTGGCTTAGAACATTAGTACTTTTTCTACACTGAAACATCTAATAGGCACAAATCAGATAGCAGTCTGGCCACAAGTACTCTTGCATTCATTTCAAGAATGAGTGAGATGTTGGGGCAAGTCAGTTATGGAAAATAGGAATGAAAAAGGGGGGGCAATGAAAATCAACTCCTAGCATTCTTTTTAGCCTGAATGTACTTAGTGCAGCTTCATGGTTTGTAAAGAACTGTGATTTACATGTATCTACTGATTTATACTTCCTGTTGAGGGAAAAAAAAAAAAAGGGGCATAGTCCCATTGGAGACCATAAACATCAGGAAGAATTCTTTCAGGCTTCTAGATGTATAATCTCTTGACAGACAAAAAAGAAGTTGCCTCAGATTTTGGCAAATGAGGGAAAAAAAGGAAAAGAAAAATCCTAACCACAATGAGGAAGCTTGATGCTGCTGCAACATGATTTTGCCAGGTTGAGCTACCATAAAATAGCAGCATAAACCCAGGAAAATATGATGTGGTTCAGCTCACAGGTATCTGGGCAACAACCTGAATGTGTCTCTTTCAGTGGAGAAGAGGAAGATGATGTTGCTCAGTGAGAAACGAGGTTGGTCAGTCAGCCTGTCCATAGCCAGCTGACATGGAAACTCCTTTCTGCTCTTTGTAGGGGGCTTTTTCTCCACCATCTTTTCCAGCTTGTTTGGAACTCGAGAGATGAGGATTCTCATCCTGGGGCTGGACGGAGCAGGAAAAACAACCATTCTCTACCGGTTACAAGTTGGAGAAGTTGTCACCACCATTCCAAGTGAGTGTTTAGTCCCCCAGTGAAACAGGTGATGTGCTTGGAGCTCTGACACATCAGCTGAGCTCGCTGTGTGCTTCTGTCATGAACAAAAGGACCTTATGTTGTGGGAGCTTTGCACTGTTGAAGTTAAGAACTTCCTTGCACAACAGCATGACAGGGTGCTATGGAAGTGCTACATACAGGAACATTTTATGCTGCCCTGCTGAGTGCAAAAAGTCTTTGACCTTGAGATTGTTAACAATGATTTGGCAGGCTTTTCTTGGTAGGTAAACATTCAGTAACTGTTGTCTGTCAAAGGCTTTTTCTCCAAAAATAGCCACAGTGTGAATTCTAGAGATCATTATTGGTGTACAAAAAGATTTGCATAGTACAGTGTCAGTCAGTCATGCTTCAATAAGGCTCTTTTGTTGTCATACAAACACTCATGTTTGACACAGAGAAGAGTAAGTGCAGGCAGTTTACATTATGTAGAAAGTGTAACAAAACTCAGTCTGAGTTCTCAGGGAAGGAGAAGCTACTTACTTAAAAAAATGTAACTCATTTCACCAATCGCCTTAGTATTCATGCAGCTGTGGCCACCTGTTGCAAACACCCAGATGTATGTGCTATATTGGTCAGTCTAGGATCGCTCTGTGTGATGTGAAGGACAAGGGATGCTTGGCTTTTCAGTCCCTGTCATGTCTCTTGGGTTCCTCCTGAATGGTCACAATAAACTGACTTAGGTCAGGTTTTTTTGCCTTTCAGAAGCCAGTAGTTCCTTAGGCCATAATCCTTTCACCTTGGGGTTTTGCTTATTTCTCTAAATTTGAGGCAGGCTGTGTCCATCGTTCACTTCCGTGTTGTGTTTCGCTGGGCTGGCAGGAAAAGGAATTACACAGATGAGATGCTGTAACCATATTGACACCTTCTAGATACCACAGGGTCAGGTCTTCTGCTGATAGTAGTTGTTACAGAACTCTACAGTATGTTTACAATGTGTTTGTATTGTTCAAAAAAACCCCACCTACATTATTTTGAGCCACAAGTATTTGCTGGAGTTACTTTGCAAAATGCCCAAATTTCATTAAAGTAGCTACTGAGGATTTTCAGGCTGGAAAATTTTACACTAAGGAAGTGCTGTGATGTTCTTCAGAAGAATAAAAATCACCAACAGAGCAATTGTTTTAACTTTGTTTCAGCCATTGGCTTCAATGTTGAGACAGTGACATACAAGAATCTGAAATTTCAAGTCTGGGACTTGGGAGGACAGACAAGCATAAGGTAATAAACCTCTTAAAATGAAAAGATGTAATTACATTTCTCAAAAAAAGTGCCAACTTCTTAGAATTCTCATAGTTGATGCTTCTGAAAATTGATTCTTTTTTAAATTTAAAAAGCGGCCAGTCGTCAGGAGAGCACTTTCATCTGTCAGAATTTTGTTTGAATTTCAGATTGGAAAGAAACAAATTAATGTTTGCACTTCATACAGTTTTGCTTTGCAAAACAAGTTTACTGGTGTCTTAGACAAGCGTGCAGCATTCTGAGAAAGGGGAAATGAGTGGTATAAACCCCAAAAATCATTTAAATATTTGTAATTTTAAGAATGCAAAGCTGGGAGGTTGAATTCAGGTATAGACAATTTTTTTTTGTGAGCTTTAAATTTTGTAATGAGCCATTATATGTATAATCATAGTGAACTTTTCAGTACCCTTGCATGAGCTTTTCATGCTTCCTTTTTGAACACTGGGGAGTACAGGGTAGTTAGTGGCAGTTAGTAGGGTGCAGGTTCCTTCCTTCTTCAGTTCCACAAGGATACTGCTGAAAAGGTGTTGAGATTCTTGTTAATTACTTGCCTGTATGAACTAGTCATTTAGGATTTATCTTTGCTTATCCTTCTTTAGTGACCACAGTGATTATCTATTGCAGAAGCTTGTGTGTTTAAACTGTCTGTGTTGCCCTGCCCCTGTTTTGGACCTGATGTCCTGCAGGCTGATTCCCAAATTAATATCTATCCCCAGCACTTCTGTCCTTTCTCTGTTTTCAAGCTGACTTACTTTTTTTTTTTCCCTTCCTTTTTGTTCTGCTACTGCAAATATTTATGCTGATTGTTCCTTTTTGTAGCCTCTTGAAGATATCTTCTAATTACTTCCTGGGGCCTTTCACCCCAGAAACAGTTCTTCCTTCCTCTGGGTAGTCTGGTTGTCATTATCTGGCTAAAAAGCAGTGATAAACATGCAGCTTGTGTGACTGGAACTCAGTTTTCTTCTGCAGGCCCTACTGGAGGTGTTACTATTCCAACACAGATGCAGTCATTTATGTAGTGGACAGCTGTGACCGAGACAGAATTGGCACTTCAAAATCAGAGCTTGTTGCTATGTTAGAGGTAAGAAAACAGGGTTCACAATCATAGCAGTAGAACAGACATGGAGAAATTAAATTATTTTTTTTTTGGAGTGAATGTGAAATTTGATTCAGTGAACCGAATGAAGCTTAATTTCCTGTGTGAAACTTCAGCCCTCAGAACAGGCCCATGCAACATTTCTGAGTGAAAAGCACTAATTTTGCTGCAGATAATTTGGGTTTGTGCAGAGCTGCCTGGGCAGGCGGTTAGTTACATGTAGCCTTTTGGTCACACAAAAATGTATCTGCCTGCAAGGACAGCTGCTCAGAACTTCAGTGGTGGCAAATTCAGGCCCTGAAAAACAAACAGTAGTTAGTATCCTACTGTTTTAAAGCTGAAGTACATATGTAGAACAGGGTAATTTGAGTAAAATGAGCAAATCTTCCTATTTTCATATATTTGTTTTTAAATTCCTGCAGTCTCTTTGATATGTCTAGCTAAATTGAACTACCAGCCTAACTGGCCATGTTTTGAAGTAGCTGCTGTGTGGTATCATGCTGGAATTTGGAAGTTAATACTCTTCTTTCACTGAAGAATTTTCTAAAGAACAACTCAGTGAGCTGAAAATCATTAAAGAGAGCTGCTTAAGTTTTTCATGCTGTGGTTTTTCTTTGCTTAAATAAATGCAGTAAAAGCCTTTGCAACAACTTGCACCATTCACCTCTTTTTTTAGGAAGAAGAGCTGAAGAAAGCCATTTTGGTGGTGTTTGCAAACAAGCAGGACATGGAACAGGCCATGACTCCCACAGAAATGGCAAACGCACTGGGCTTACCGGCTCTGAAGGACCGAAAATGGCAGATATTCAAAACCTCTGCAACTAAAGGCACAGGGCTTGATGAAGCAATGGAATGGTGAGTAACAGTCTTATTGTGCTGGCTTCATTAGAAAAATATTTTAACTGTGTTTTTTTTTTTTCCCAAAAACTGGATCTGTAGGAAGTCTGTCTGACACAAGAGTCCACATTGGAAGGAAAAAGAAACTTTCTGCTGAAAGTATTTCAGCACAATTGAAATCACTTTTCAGTTAAATTGACTTGACCTTTTTCCTAGGTTGGTGGAGGCCTTGAAGAGCAGGCAGTGATTCAGAGCTGAGCACTGCAAAGAAGTTTCAGCTATGTCCAGCACCCCTCTTGCTGCAGTCAAGTATTTCAGGCCACAAACCCTTGTAAATAGAGCAGATTTGCGTTTGCCTCCTGTAATGTGGAAGCCTCTCTTGAGTTGTAAAACTGAACACCTGTGTACATTATGGTAGTCCATTCCTTTCTTTCTGTTTAAAGGATGTACTTATGTTAATTTGTATGAAAGTCTTACTGGCTGGGAAAGTGTTTTTTTGTGTTTGCCCTCCCTCTACCCCCTTGGGTGCTTTTAAGTTTGAGTGGCTCCTATATTTGTGTAATTAAAACACTAATAAAATCTGGAACTGTCAACTGTACTTATAGGCGTGTTGCTCACTTAACAGAAACAAGGCCAACTGCTGCCATGCAGCTGAACATTTGAAGAGGTTAAGCTGCTGATATTACATTTCAGAGTCCTTCAGTGTAGATACATTCTCACAAGGAAGGTGCAGCAACAGAGATAAACTGCATACCTCTACCTGTTTGTGTAGCTGTGGGTTTTTTCCTGAAAGGAAAATGTCTTTATAGCTGCCTACTTCCCTGGTGTGCCAGGCCTGTCATTTGAATTTAACTTCCACTTCCATGAGCTGTTATTTCTATATTTTTAGCTTGGCCAGAAGTTAAGTTGCTCAGTACAGCTGCAGAAACTGAAAGACAAAACCAAGGCGAGAGGCAGACTGTTTTCTCTTTAGGACACAGGATGTTCCCAGGCATGAATGCAGCCATCACACAAGCCATCTTTTAAAAAGGCAGTAAAATTTAATATAAAAAAATCATGGTGGTTGTTCATTCAACTGTACATGCTCTGGCAAATATACAGCTTTTATTTAAGACCCTAGATGAAAAAAAGGACATGAAAAAATATTAATAAATACAATTAAAATATGTAAAGACTTTTTTTTAGTTATTTAGCTTGAAATGACTTTTTTATAAATTAATCCTTTACGCTTTCTCATTCCACCATTGCTAAATCTTTCAGTGCATGGCTTCGAGGTCTTTTGGCCTTGCAGGTAGGGCGCAGGGATTCTATTTTTCTCTTTCTGGTTTCTGCTTTATTCTTATGTCTCTTCAGCTTCCTCCTCGCAGCGATGTCTGGGTTGGCTACAGTCTAATGAACAACAAGACATTTGTTTAGTTACAACTAACAGCTGTCCCTGGAAACAATAAGTACACAACACACGGGTTTTCACAGAATCATTCTAGTTGGAAAAGACCTTTAAAATCATCGAGTCCAACCATTAACCTAACTCTACCTAGAGTCTAGTGCACCACATCTACCCAATCTTTTAAACACCTCCAGGGATGGTGATTCTACCACCACCCTGGACAGCCTGTTCCAGTGTTTGAAAACCCTTTCAGTGAAGAAGTTTCTTGGGCTTCTCAGAACTGAGGGAACTCTGGCTGCTATGCCCAGATTTACCACTGCTCTTCAGGTAAGCAGGGAAGCACAGAATCACTGTCAGCCAGAACCTGCCCAAGAGGCAGTTCTTTTGAAGGTTCAGCAACAAAACTGTCCCAACTCAGGATGAAGTTCTTCCTCAAACTCACCTTCCTGGTCAGTTCTAAAGCCTTTAAAGAAACCCTATTTCTTTTTCCCAGAAGAGAAAGCAGAATCTTACCTGCAATGCTCTCTGTTTTTTCCTCATGGCTCTTTTCTGATTGGCCTGTTTCTGCACAGCAGAAAAGGCAAGCGAAAAAGTCTCCAGTCCAACTAACTTCTTGAGCAGTTCTATGATTTCTTGGGAAAGGTTCTTCAGTGTTGGATCTAATAAAATAAGATTGTTTAATCTTTTCAGCATATGGGATGAAAGCCAAGAGCCCCGTAAGGCTCTTTTCTAAAGGATGACTCATTTTGCCCAATGTACTATGAGTCCAGAGCAAAGGTGACGGTGAAATCTGCTGGTTCTTCACCAGCTTTCCTAGAGAACCACAGGTGGTGCTTCACACAGGCAAACACAAAAATCTTGCTTCTGAGAAAGAAAAGTTTTTTCCAGAAGGATAATGACATACCAGAGGTTATCAGAAGTGGTGTGCTGTATATAGCCACTGGGGCTCTTTTGGAATGGGCTTTGTTGGAAATAAGATAATTCCAGCCTTGTCAGTCAGCATCTCTCTCCAGTATGCACAGCAAGGGCTCACTTAATGCTTAGGATCATTAGTTACTACTTATTAACTACCATCACTGGAGGAAGAAGATATTAGTGAGGAGAAAAGGCTACAAAGACATGCTGAGGGAAAACTGAGTGCAAGGCAAATGTTTCCCTCAGTCTTCCAACAGATCCTTCTTCCAAGTACTTGTGCAGGCTCCACAGAAGCTTGTGTAAACTGCTTGCCTCCACAGTGTCCTTCAGTGACAAGGTCCTTGGGGTCTACAGCCCCATCATATGAAAAACCATCTCTGCAGTTACTCTGAAAAATCACATGAAGGTCTCTGTTGCACAAAAAGCAAGTTGATCTTGATCCACCCATGATACTGTCAATCTCTACCGGGTCTTTTCTATCTCTTACTTTGCTTAGCTAAAATTAAAAAAAGGTAGCCAAGGCAGTTAGTTGTCCCTTACCTAGAACACTATATCACCGCCCTCCTCCAAGTTGTTTTCAGTTCTTTTTTATCCTGAGATGTGAGGACCCAGTGCTGCCAACTGCATTTCATGGCATATACAAGCCACAGACTTGCAGTAATAGAACTCTTTTGGTTCATTATCTGTTCTTTCCTGAGATTGGATTTTGCTTGACTTGAAACATTTCCATGAACTATCCAAACACCAGTGTCTTGCTCTAAAGCCAAGATTCTATCATGTTAAATGGGCAGTGGGTTTATCTTTTCCCCCACCAGGCATGACTTCTGAAGATTGTTTTAAACAAACACGGATCTCCGGGGAAAAACGAGTGTTGTTGCTCAGGTAGTATCCAGCAGGACAGGGTGACCTGGACTCAACTCAGGAGGAAGGGAGAAGTCCCGTGCACAGCTCAGTGGGTGCATGCCTGCCTGCTCATACCAAGTGCTGCGTCCCCACAGCAGACAGCTCTCAACCCCTCTCTGAACAGGCTGCTTTAAGTCACTGGGCACACGTGGCACACGCTAAAGGTCATCTTCTCTATTTCAGAAGGGGGAGCTTGGGGAAAACATCAAGCAGCCACCAAACTGGCTATTCCAACTTGCACAGTCTCTTGCACTACAGTAACACAAGCTGCCATGAAACACACCCTGTTTAAGGTTAGAACTGAAACACGCTTGTAAGCACAGGGCATGGATCATCATGCCCCTAAACCTCAGGGCAGATCAAACACTGCAATTCAAGAAGAATGACACTTGTAACAGCCTTGTTCTGGCTTCCATAACACCTGCACTCTGTTCCTCCCTTCAGCAAGGACTTGGCCTTGCCACCACGAGTCCACTTTTTCCACTACATCACAAGCTCAACCTTTACCTGCTTACATGCAGGAGCCTGCCTGACTTAATTCCAGTCCTTTGTCAACATGCAGATTTTCCTTCCCTCTGCCATGCACTCTCCTTTCCTGCTATTTTAGTTAAACTGCAAATAGGTGAAATTCACAGATTATGGCATCTCTGCCTCAGCAGACAAAAGGAATGACAGGTGTTTGTGCTGAGGCACAGCTCTTACATGCTTTTTGTGAGGGAAATCACTTACCTTGCTCTGCATAGGTGCTGTTCAGTTCCCTGTACAGAGGGGTGAGAATTGTTGGAAGGTACGGCTTGATCCTGTCTTGTCCCAGATCCACTGAGATTGCTCCCAGGAACTTAAAGATGCAGCTCCTCTGAAAATGAGTGTGTAGGACATGAAGTAAGAAAGGTTGGAACGAAACTGCCTGAGTGCTCTATGTCACTGTTCACCATACAAGGCATTGTCCCAGACACCTGAGTCAGGAACCCACTGCTGCTACAAGGCCTCACTGCAGCCAAGTACAGGTGAGCTGTGACTCCAGCAGGTTGGCAGCTGAAGACATGGAACTCAAGCTCTAACTGCACCATGGGAAATGCCTGTGCTTTTCCTGATGCTCTCCCACACCCTCCCCTTCTCCTAGTAACTCCACACTGCCATTCCCCTGCCTGAATAAACCTAGCACCTTCGGGCTTTCAAAGACAGTGCTCTGTCCCCTTCAACTTAATGCCTTTGGGTTTAGCACCCCTCCACCACCCCACAAGAAGGCTGGAAGCACCAGCAAAGAGAAGTTGACTGGCACAAGCCTTTCCTAAGAATCCCGAACAGAAAAGAAATACTTGCTTCTTTGGAACCTACTAATCCTCATGTCAGCACCAGCTTCCAGCACCCTCTGCAGCAGGTCCCTTGGAAGCAAAGAGCCAGAGCAACAGTCTCCTGTGGAAGTGCCCACCACATCAAAAGCAGTTGGTCTAACCCTGTTCTTACCTTTAAAGGAACCTTAGGGGAATATGCTGCTTCTCGCTTTGCCATGAGAGAGAGCTTCTTCATTAACCATAACAATGTGGCTGGCTGGCCTTTCTCTTCTGTGTTCTCTCTTTCTTCCTCTCCTTGAGCAGAAATGTCTTTATCTTGCTCATCTTCAGACGCCTCCTGCTCTTCCACTTCACAGCCAAGTTCTCCTCCAGCATCTTTATCTTCTTCTAAGGCAGGGGCTAGCAAGTAAACAACTTTTGCCACAAAAAGCAAATTCTTTATAACCTGAAGTGTAAACACAGAGTAGTCAGTCACTGTGGGTCACCCCAATACCAGCACCAGAATTGCTCAGGGTATGTAAGAGCCAAGGCTCGATCTGAAAAAGGAAGTGGCCAACCCAGCAGACTGTAATGGCTTCACCTCCTGCATGTTGCTCCTAACAAGAAGGCCCACCTCAATATACTCCTGCAGTCTGAGAGTCTTTCCCCATGAGCTACCAAGCCTTTCAGGCTCCAGCACCCCCTGAGACAGGGCTTCTCCTTTTCCCCACCTCTAGCAGCCCTTGGTTTTCCAGAAGGAAATCTCTGACCTGATTCCCAATGGAGTAAGATCTTCAAGCAACAGCATAAAGCTGGACTAAATGCTCCCAGCAAACAGCCAGGGCTCCAGTGCAGCTGCAGGGAAGCAACACCAGAGACAATTTGGATCCCTGCTCCCAGATGTGGTTGCCCAACCTGCTCCAGCCTGGACTGCAGAGCCAGACTCTCCCTGATGGAGGGGTAGAGAGAAGGGACGCCAGTCTTGCCCTGCATGGCACCTTCCCTTCCTGTGCATGCCACCCCTCAAACCTTCCAGCAGCCTGACGACTTCTCTGGGCCCCTCTGAGTCATGCACCTGCTCAGATGCCCTCAGCATGGAGCAGCTGCCCCTGCCCT